CTTGATCTAGCGGTTCACTAGGTGCAGCAATAATGGTTTCAACAATCATCTCTTTTGGATAGTCTGTTTGGGAGTGATGGCAAAGATTTGAATAGAATGCCCGTGTAATGAGATTTCCTGTCTGGTTCTAGCTGCTGTCATTATTTTCTCTTTAATCCCATAGAAGTGGGGTTTGATGATAACATCCTGGGGCAAGCCGACAGATCTGGGGCAGTTAAAGCGGAACTTCACTTTCTCAATCAACATTGACTGTTTTTTTGGGTTTTTTTTTTAAATAAATATTTTATTAAATTTTCAGATTGCAAATTTATACAGACAAGCCAAAAAAAGATAAACACAAAAACAACCTCACATTTGCTTGTCATAATATCTAATTATTAACCTTAATCTTAACATTTCCCCCCCCCACCCCCCCCCCCCTTCCACCAAACCACATACCCCCCCCCCCCCTCCAACCCCCCAAAACCTCCGCTCTGCATCTTTCCTACTCCCTCTGGAGATCCCGAGTCAAGAACATATCCACATTATTTCTCCATTAATCCCCCATATACTCCAGGATTCATTCTGACTCCTTAAATTCCTCCCACCCTTTCTACTTTACACAGAAACTCTCCATCTTATCTTCACTCAAATGGTAAAGTTCTTCTAATCTACCAATCTGATCCACCCTGTTTACCCAATCTTTATTTTTGGTACCTCCTGTTTTTTTCAAAACTTGGGTATCAATCCCTTTGCTGCGTTCAGATAGTACAATAAACCATATTTTTTATATTTCTTAACCGAAAGCTTAGTACCATGAAAAAGGCAAGTCTCTGGGTCTTTTGTAATATCAACCTCCGTTATTTTCTGAATCAGACAAACTATTTTCCCCCAATACTCTTGAATTTTAGGACACTCCCACCAAATGTGATACATTGTACCTCTACCCCCACATCCACGCCAACATAAAGGTGAATTGTCTCTATTCAATCTATGTGCTACACTCTGTGTAATATACCATCTTGCCAAACATTTATAATTCATCTCTACCTCCTTCATATTTACATTTTCGTGTATTAAGCTATATATTTTCTTTTGCTTTTCCACATCTATTGTTACTCCTATATCCCTTTCCCTTTTCTCTATAAATGATAGACTTAAATCCGTGATTATTCCAGTGAGAATCTTATATATTTTAGAAATTCTATGTTTCCCATCTCCCCTTGTGCTCAAAAGGGTTCCAATCCTCTCTTGTTCTCAATGGCCTTGGAAGCTTCCCTACAAAGTGTTTCAACTGAAAATAATGCCACTCATCAATTCTCGTAAATATTTCCGTCTTTTTTTCCAAATCCTTAAGTGAGCCTATTTCCTCCCCCACCATTACATCTCTCAACCGTACATCTTCCTTCTTTATCCACTTCCCAGTGACACTTTTTTTTACCCAGAGGAAAATACTCTGTGGACCATAAGGGCATTAACAGTGAATTATATTCCCACCCCTTTTGTTTATGTAAAACATCCCATACTCTTAACACATTAAGTGTGAAAAAACTTCTGCTATCTGCTAATCCTCGGAATTGTGGGGGTAACCATACAATTCTACTAAGGTTTGTGTGACTTAGTGTATTTTCTATTTTTACCCAGCTTTTCCCATGTGAATTATGTGTCCAGTCAAAAATTCTTGACTGTATTACAAGTCTGGAACTCCCAGTCCACCTTTCTCTTTATTTCTACTTAAGATTTTATAATTTATTCTAGGTTTTTTATTCCTCCAAATAAATCTTGTTAACATTTTTTTAATTATTCTAAAATATACTTCTGGTATTTTGATTGGTATCATTTGGAATTTGTGTAGGATTTTTGGAACAATTACCATTTTTGTCAAATTTATACGACCTATCCATGACAGAGTTCCCCACCTAGTTTTCTTAATTCATCCTTAATCTCATTTAATAATGGGATATAATTTGATCTATATAAATTCTTGGGAGATACAGTTAATTTTATACCTAAATATTTAAATTCTTTTTCTCTCCATACAAAAGGAAATTCCTCCTGTAATATATTTTTCTCGCTATTTAAAAGATTTATATTTAAAATCTGTTTTTGTTGAATTAATTTTTACATTTGACATCTCTATATTCCTTCAATGATTTCATTAAATTTGGCGATGTTATCCTTGAATTTCCCACATAGAACAACATATCATCTGCATAAGCTGCCACCTTATGCTCCGTATCTCCTATCCTAATACCCTTTATATCTATGTTATCCCTTATTGTAGCCAGCAAAGATTCCAAAGATAGAACGTACAGTAGTGGAGACATCCCTGTCTAGGTCCATTTTGCATCCTAAAGTACTCTGATAATTCCCCATTAATCATGACTGCTGCAGAGGGTTGACTATATAATTTCCTTATCCATTCTCTCATTCTGAGTCCCATCCCCAATACTTCTAGTGTATCCAACATATAACCCCAATCTACTCTGTCAAATACCTTTTCAGCGTCTATCGAAAGGACCACTGCAGGGATTTTCTCTTTCCTACTTTTTTGTATGAGAAACAAAGATCTTAATCCATTATCTCTACCCTCTCTTCGTGGGACGAAACCCACCTGATCCATATGAATCCATTCCGGCATCAAGTCTTTCAACCTATTTGCCAGAACTTTTGCATACAGTTTGGTATCTGTGTTTAACAAGGAAATCGGTCTATAACTTGCACATCCTTGTCATCCTTACCTTCCTTATGTATGAGAACTACATGGACTTGTAAAGATTCCCTCCTCATTTCCATCTCTCCTCCCAATGCATTCATATATGTCTTCAATTGACTGTTTTTAATCCTTATGCCACTAGTATTAGTAAATAGATATGTAAGCTTGTCATATTTACTATGTTTTAAACCTTTTTTTACATATCTTCAGTTACTTCGTGGTTTTCTGCCTAGCAAATCATCTCATATATCCCAGTAGTCTTCAGGAGGGGAGGGAGGGTTCTCAGTTCAGCCAATTCCTGAGCTAAGGGCAGATGGATTCCAGGAAGTAAATGCTACATGAATCATCTGCCCTTATTCAGGATGGCCACTGCCAGAAATGCTAGGGGGTGTTTTTCAAAATTATTTCTTACCAAAATAAAGCATGGAGACATGGATGGATGGGTTAGTTTGTTTTGAGTATTAACAATGAATTAAATAGCATTTTTGGTGCTCAGATGCAGTACACTTTAAGGTGGAAATTATATAATTCGAACTGATGCGGGGAGATATCAGGGATCAAGTCCTGCATAAACGTGTGTAGAGCAGACTCCAAGCCTGTGACCGTCTCTGGAAGGCCCCTGACCCTGAAATAATAGCACCTGGATCTGTTCTTAGGTCTTCTATCTTGGTCTGGGCTTGGTCCAATTGCTCTTGTAACGTGGCAATCAAATTAGAGTTCTGGTTCACACGTCTCACAGTGCCATCTACTTTGGATTCTATAGAGCCCAGTCATTCTATATTTTGAAAATCATGTTTTATATTGGTGGTTATAATGGCACAGGTGTTGGATAATTCCTGCTGCAACAATGCGGAGAATCTTGCTATCGTATAAGCACTACGTCCCCTGAATATGATGCAGCCTGCGCTGTGGGTGGGTGCACTGAGGAACTACATCTAATATTGTTTTTTGCCTGTAAAGTTATCTTACAGAATTCAAAAAATGTTATTCCCCCTATGGTACAGCAGGTTTATCATGTGGTGAACTCTGGCTATGGTAGCCCTGGCTTGGTATCTATGCTTCTCAATGGGCCGTTGTTCCTATCTCTCAAGCTTCTCATTAATCTCCTTGCTGACTGTCAATTTTCTAGTTAACCCTGAATCACTGATGGGGTGTACCTACATTTTTTGCAAAGGGGAGAGAGCGGTGGTTCTGTGCGTGTCTGTGTGATTGTGTGTGTGCTTTTCCATACTAGTGCTCGGTCATACCGGTGCGATTTCAGCTGTGATTTGGGAACTGAAATCGTACCTGAAATCGCATCTAATGAACGTAAATGACAGTGTCTTAACATTTGCGATTTGCTGCAGCACAATTTCTATAGTAATTTGTTACTTTTTCTGCAGTTTTGTTGCGACTTCACATACATAGAATATAATGGAAATCGCACTACAAATTGCAAGAAATCATTGAAAATCTTCCCAAGCAAAAAAGTAACAGAAATCACACCTGAAATTGCACACAAATCATGCAATTTTAAATCACAGTGGTGTGATTGGTGACTTATTGCTATCCTGCACAGTGCCCTGTGTTCTCTGTTTACTACAATTTGGGCTCTGCATAGCCTTTTTGCCATTGGTCATGATGTAATGTAAATGGCTGTACTTTCTTATTTTTTTATGACTAAAAGACTCTTAACCACTTGCCTACCAGGCACTTATACCCCCTTATTTACCAGGCCAATTTTCAGCTTTCAGCGCTGCCGCACTTTGATTGACAATTGCGCGGTCATGCAACATTGTACCCATATGAAATTTTGATAATTTTTTTCTCACAAATAGAGCTTTCTTTTGGTGGTATTTAATCGCCACTGGGCACTTTACTTTTTGCGCTATAAATAAAAAATTGCCAAAAATTTGAAAAAAAAAAGTTTCTTTGTTTCTATTATAAAATTTTTCAAACAGGTAATTTTTCTCCTTCACTTATGTGCGTTGATGAGGCAGCACTGATGGGCACTGATAGGCGGCACTGATAGGCAGCACTAAAGGGCACTGATAGGCAGTACTAATGAGGTGGCACGGATAGCCGGCACTGATAGACAGCACTAATGAACTGTCACGGATAGGCGGCACTAATATGCAGCACTGATAGGCGGCACTGATAGGTGACACTAATGATGGGTACTGATAGACGGCACTGACTGGCATCACTGCTGGGCACTGACTGGCGACACTGACTGGCACAACCGCTGGGCACTGACTGGTGGCACTGACTGGCAGCACTGCTGGGCTGCACTGGTGGGTGGCACTGGGTGGGCAGCACTGGTGGGTGGGCACAGGTGGGTGGCACTGGTGGGCACAGGTGGGTGGGCACAGGTGGGTGGCACTGCTGGGCACAGGTAGGTGGCACTTCTGGGCACAGGTGTGTGAAATTGCAGAGTGGCACAGGTGGGTGCACTGCTGGGCACAGGTGGGCGGAGCTAGTGGGCGCACTGCAGGGCACAGGTGGGCGGAACTTGCGGGTGGCACTGCTGGGCACCGATCATCAGGGCACTGATCATCAGTGCCCTGATGATCGGTGCCGATCCCCGCTCTGACAACTGCCGGTTCTTGGCAGTACTTTCCTCACGATCTGACAGCGTGAGGAAAGTGCAGCCGAGAACCGGCACTTGCATTTCTCTCTGATCAGTGTGTCATTGGACACCGCTGATCAGGTGGTAAAAGGCCGCTGTGATTGGCCTTTTACCACATCACGGAGATCGCCGGGTGCGTGCCCCCTGGGGCGCGCAGGAGAGCGCGTTCTGGGGGGACATCATATGACATCCACTCAGAACTGGCCGGCCGCAGTGCAGCCGTCATTCGGCTATCTGCGGTCGGCAACAAGTTAAATAAATGCCTATTAAAAAGGTCTTCATGGATAAGTGTCAGGGTTTAGCACAAACATGACTGGTAAATTATAAGAAGATCAGGTATCAGTTAAAGTGGTAGTAAAGTCAATGAAAAAAAAATTCACCTGCAAAGTAATACCATAATGTGCTAGTATCAACTGCATAATAACATGTTATGAAAGACTTATTTTAAAATTAAGCCTTCCAGTGGTCTGCTGTCACAGTTGTAGGCGTTTCCATTTTCACCTGGTCTTCCTTCCAGGTTCATGGGCTGCAGCTTGAATGGCCAAATCATGATGATGTCACTCCTGCGCATGCACACGGGTGTCCCAGCCACGGCACAAAGGTTTGAAGAAACGGCACAGGTATGCTGTTCCTTCAGAGCACATGTGCCGATGACGTCATCGGCTTCTGCTCACTGAAATATCTCCTAAACTGTGCACGTTTAGAAGATATTCATTTAACTTACAGGCAAGCTTTTTTTATAAGCTTACCTGTAGGTAAAAATAAAAAATGTAAGTTTACTACCACTTTAAGTTCCATTATACCATGAACAGCTATGTAGTGGGGCTAACTTGGATGAAGTGTCATTGAACACTACCTTGAAATTCAAGGAAATTGAAGAATAAAGGGGAGAAAAGTTATACAAGGTGAAGGGACACTAAGAGATAGCGAGCTTCTGAGAACAGACTAGGAGGACTGTAGCAATGAGATGAAAAGGGAAGGAGAGTTAATGGAACCGCAGACATTAAGAACTTTGCCCAACAGCAGAAAGCACTTGAGAAAACGTGAGAGTGGAGAGAAACAGAAGAGGGAAAACATGGGGAGCATGGAGCATGGGGTACCATGGAGAGCAGAGCAGGTGCAGGAGAGTATAATACTGATGACACTGTTACGGCAGAGATGCATAAGAAGAAAACAGTGATAGGACGATGATCAGAGAAATAGTTCAAAGAATGGGAACACAGCAGGAGAGAATGAACATTGAGGCGAGAACTGGTAAAAATTACTCATTGTCTGCAGAGCAGGGTAGTGAAAACACACATAATAGATAGGTAGAAGAACATAGCAAGAGGCAAGATAGAAGGAGAGTGTAGGGTTTAAAAGAGAGATGAGAAGGGAGGAGTGGAACACTGAAGAGAACAGAAAGGGAGGTTGTGCATTCTCCCTGAGAGGATGAACCTGAAAGTATCTGAGATCCCTCCACTAAAAGTCACAAGAAACATACCAGGAATATCTTTATATTATACAGAATAGAAAAACCTGCTGTTTTATATTTATAGCAAATCTTCTTCTTGCGGCTCATTTAGAGAATGATATTTCCTGACGGCTCCATGTCAGCACACCCCCTTCCTGATCAGGACAAAACTCAATATATTTTTGACCCACCTCAGCCTAGTCGTTCCTTTTTCTTCCTCCTGCAATCAGGACACGTGGCTCTCTCCCCTCCTATCTGGTCTAATGGCTGTCTGTCCACAATTGCTCACAAGATTGTATGCAGTCCTTATACTTCTCTGCTAACAGCAGTTTGATCAGGGATCCCCGCTGCTGGCCATCGGGGCGGCATCAGGCCGTGATAAAGTACTGCCAGCTTTTTGGGTGTTGCACCACTGGTTCCTCGGCGGCTGCTGGTAGGGGTAATCTCCTTCCTTGGTGGCTGCTGGGGGTGATGGCTGCTAAGGGGAGCAGCGCCGGTCTCCCTGCTTCTTACCAGCTGTGGCCCACTCTGAGCATGCATGGACCGCTCGACCAATCAGGAGAGGGGTGGCATTGTCAGGCTTAATTAAGCCAAATTAAAAGATGCTTTTGGCTGAAAGCATCTGCTGCCAATGATTGTGTACTCCTGCAGCCTGCCTGTGCCTGCTATTTTCTCTCTCTCTCCTCCTGGTATGCATTGCACCTGCAAGGCTGTGCTCCTGTGGTTCTATCTGCTGTGTTGCTCTGCCTCATGCTCTTGATTTTATCTTTTTTGCAGCAGTGATAACATGCCTACCCTCTCTAAAGTCCAGCATTCTCAGAGAAGGCAGGGGAGATGTCGCCAGATGCGCATATTCTTTTTGGTGTTTTTCAAGTCAATGACTAATTTTGTCTTTTTTGTCTGTGCTGCCCCAGCTCCTCAGGTCTTGGCCATGATCCTTCCCGACGATCAGAAGAAAGAAGCTCAGAAAGTAGGAGAGGCAAGGGAGGATCGACTTTCTGGGGAAAGACAGAGACCACACGTTCCTGTTCAGCCTCTAGGGGTCAGTGCTCCCCATCACGATACGGCAGGAATTCGCATTATGACCAACCCAGACCAGGAGGATACTGGGCATGCCCTAGAAGAGCTATGTTGGGCAAGACGGCTTGTGAGACATGCTTCAAAAAAGCAACCAAACACCAAGAGCCTGATAAGGCAGAGATGGTATTGCTAATGAAGCATGCATTTGAGGAGACACTAAAGGTGTTTGCATCGCAGTCGCAGTGGTCAACCGCCCCAGTTCCCACACAGAAGAAGCAGAGGAAGTTTTTCATGAACATGAAAAAGGAGGGGGGTGAATTTCCCATTCATGGAAGAAATTCAGGACATAATTACAGATGAGTGGAACCAAGCAGATAAGAGAATCTCTTTTAAGAATCGGTTTGCTATACCCTTTCAAGTTGGAGAGTATTAAGAGTTTGGAAGAGCCTCCGGTGGTGGACGCAGCATTTATGCACCTCGCTAGACACATAACCCTTCTGCTAGAGGTCGCAGTGACATTCAGGAACATGTTGGATAGAAGAGTGGATGTGGACCTTAAAAAGATTTACACACTTGCTCGTGGGGCTTGTAGATCTTCTATCGCTTTGGCAGGTATTTTGAAGGCCATGGAGTCCTGGGTCAGAAGTGGCCGTGGGAAGTGACCTGAGCAAAGACAAGGTCATGGCCTCCTTTACTCCTTTGAAGCTAACAGCTCTTTTATGGTTGAGGCATCCATTGACCTAATTAAGATGTTGGCCAGGATCATGCTTAATGCAGTAACAGCCAGAAGAGCTCGATGAATGAGGCCCTGGGTGGCGGACCAAGCCACCAAACAAGGATGGTGTAAGATACCATTTGAAGGGCAGTACCTGTTTGTAAATAAAGTAGACACTGCCATCGCAAACGCCACAGGGGGAAGTCGGGGTTTATTCCCCAGGATTAGAGGCTCCTTCACAGGAGAGGTGCAGCTTACAAAAATTCACCAAGGACCAGAGATAGAGACGCTAAGTCTTACAGGCCAGGGAGAGAATTGTCATCAATGGTCTAACACGGCTGCGAACCGCAAGTTGAAGAGATCAACTTTGTCTCTGGGACAGGAGTCCTAGAAGTCTTTTTGACCTTATGCCAGCTCACACTTGTCGCGTAGGAGCCAGATTATTCAAGTTCCGTCAAGTGTGGACACAAAAGGTAAAGGAGCCTTGGGTAATTTCCACCATCTGGTTCAGCCATGCTTGGAAGTTCCTGAGGCATCCCCGCAGAATCTTTGTCCCGACAAAATTACCTTTGGCAAGAGAAAAGCAGAATGTTTTATGGAAATACATAGAAACCCTCCTCAACCAGGAAGCTATAGTCGCAGTACCCCGGCAAGAGTGTTTTTCTAGAATCAACTGGCCTCTATTCCTAGTACAGAAAAAGTTGGGAGCGTGGAGACCAGCGATAGACCTCAGGAGGCTCAACATGTATATCAAGAAAAACAGATTCAAAATGGAATCTCTCCAGACAATTCTGAAAATCATTCAGCCAGGGGATTGGCTTCTATCAGTGGACCTCAAGGATGTGTATTTCCATGTACCAGTAGCTCCAGTCTGCCAGAAATTTCTACGGTTTGCGGTAGGGCAGCTCCACTTCCAGTTTGTATGCCTACCCTTTGGGCTGACCACATCATCCAGAGTATTTACAAAGATTCTTCTTGCCCTAGTGGCATACCTGAGGTCTCAGGGAGTGTGAATATATCACTACTTGGACAACATTCTGCTCCTAAATCAAGACAGAGAGACACTTCTGTCACACCGGAAGTTAACCATGGAGACACTAGAAAACTTCAGATGGTTAATCAACCGGAAGAAGAGTCACCCAGAACCTGGTATACCTAGGCGCAGAAGTGAACACTCAGGCAACATCAGTGGTGTTACTGGAGGACAAGATGTTAGGCATCCTGAAAACAATGTCAATAGCGCAGAAGAGGCTCTACCTTCCTGCAATAGAATGTATGCAGCTGTTAGGAATTATGACTTCGGCTATTCCGTTGGTCAAATGAGCACAATGGAATTCACATCCCCTTCAGGTTGGGCTCTTGAACAATGGAGACTGGAGGATTTGGGCAGAAGTGTCAAGGTCCTACCTTTCCCTGAGGTTATGTTACTCCATGTGCTGGCGTCCATCTTGGATTCTGCTGTGCATGATGGGAATCCTTTTTATGCCTTCAGGTCTCTGAGGTCCACCCCCCAGAGGGGCGTGGCTGATGACATATAAGCCTGTGGCCCGCACATGCTCTTTGCACTTGTGTCTTTGTGTTACTATTACTCTGTTCTGACTCTCGTGACTCTCCTGGTATTCTGATTCGGCTTGTGACTTGACTATTCTTTGTATTCTCCTTTGATCTGACCCTCTGTTGCTGAACCCGGCTTGTGACCTGTGATTCTCGTCTGCTGTCCTGTACTGTTTTGTCCTGTTGTTGTTGACCCCGGCTTGTCTGACTACTCTTTTGTTTCTTCCACCAGCTACACGCCATTGGCGGCGGCCATTACCGCAGCTGAGGTGTCTCGGGGGCCGCGACCTGGTTCCTGGC